GTCCTCGAAAATCCAGCATCCGTCCGCGCCACTGTCGGCAAATGCAGCTTGGGCAAGCTTCAGGGCCTTATGGTGGCTCATGGCACACGCCAGGACAGACCACGAGTGCACCGATCCGTCCTTCAAGGACTGGCGCAGGCCTCGGCCGACCCTCAGCTTACAGCATTGCCGTGTGTTGCCAGCACCTGTCCACGTAAAGCGAACAGAATGCCGCAGGAGCCGTTGGCGACCCTGAGCTTTCACTAGGTGCTGTCCGTCGATTGCTTCAACTACAGTGATGTTGCTCCAACCCACAGCCGCCAAAAAGTCGAGAGCATTCTTTGTTCGATCCGCCCGGCGGTTTAAGCTGATGACAAAAGCTGGCCAATCCAAAGGCTCTGTGCTGAAACGCTGCAGCTGCGGGCTCCTCACCAAGACGCAGGCGGACCTTACCGCCGACACGAGTTGCGCACCCATGGGATCGTGCTCAGGTTTGGACCTGTGAACCAAAGACCTTGCGACCAATTGTGGTGCATCACGAGAAACTTTGGGAACGTCATCGTGTCTAATTAGACGTCGTATTCTCGAAAGCAAAACACCGGGATCTTCGCTTGTTTTCAGTCCAATCGCTCAAACCAGGCCTTTAGCCGGCCCATTAGACTGGAAATGTTTTCGGGGAAACAACAGAGTTGTCTCTAGCTTGCATGCATGTCACGTCTCATCTCTGTTTACTGTGGATGTTGTGCCGGCATTTTCCAAAGGCTTTTGAGGCAGGCAAGGTGAAACGCAAGGTGAAACAAAGGTCTGTTGCTTCTGGTCTTGCTTGAGGCCTCATCGAGCCGCCTCCGCAGTTCTGGAAGTAAGCGAAGAACGTGCTTTCGCCGAGAGGCTTGCAGACAGTGCAGAAACAGACTCGTAGTTGCTGTCTCCAACTACTTTGGGGAAGTACATCGAGGAACACGTCCTCCACCCATTAGTTCCATACCCTTCCCCACACCGCCTGCGTGGCCACGGACGCACAAGCTCAAGCCAGATCTGCACAACGGAGATGGAATCTGCCTGGCGCTATGATTCTGCGGGAGGGACAACAAAAGTCTTAGCAAAAGCCTGTTTCCCTGTCCTCAAGAACGCGCATGCTTGTCGACCCGTGATAATGCTTTGTCGACAACCGCACGACCCTGTGACCCACGTGACCGTGACCCGGACTGGCCCTGAAACGCGGTGCATGACGGTTTCAAGTAAACCAAAACTGGCGATCAACGAAACTCGCCATATGTTTCGCCCGAGGTGAAGATACCAGGTGTCAAGTTTCCACACAGTGTGTGTGAGTGAGTGAGCGAGTGTGTATGTGTGTGTGTGTGTCACCTTTCACAAAAATATCGGTACTCGTGCACAAAATGCTCACCGAAACAGTCCAAAAACCATCAAAAAGTACTCCTTGAGGAGATCCAAACACCAACGAGATCTAAACACCATCAAAAAGTACCTAGATCCAAACAAAGAGTCCTCCACGACGAGATCCAAACACCATCAAAAAGTACTCCCCAGGGAGAACGAGATTGAAAATAAACACTTCCCAATGAGATCCAAACACTATCAAAAAACACTCCCCAACCAGATCCCCTACGCCACCCCAAGGAGATAACAACAAAAAACACGGACTCCTTCAACGACATCCAAGATTCAAACAACCTAAATATCCAATCCCCAATAACCCTACAGACACAACCTCCACTCTGCTTACTAATTTCCCGGTGCTTTCAAGGTGATAAACCCCGAAACCTGGCGGTCTGGGGTCGCGCGTACTTTCCGAACCCTTGGTTTAGGGCTTAGTTTTGGAGTGTTGGATTTGGTTTGGGGTTTTGGGTTTCGGAGGTGGGGGCGCTGTGAGGGTGTTGGGGCTTTGGGCAGGAGGCTCCGATGTAATTTGTGGGCTCTCGGGCATCGAGTCTTGCAACAGCCCTGTAGTCCTGCAACAGACGTCTGTCATATTCTGGTCCAAGTTAGCTGAAGGTATTGAATGGCTACCTGGACCTTGAATTGTCCCATTCTCTTTTCATAATCTCTGCCACAAACTTGGGTACGAATATCAACTATATGAATATCACCGAGGCCTCTGTGACTCAAACCTCCGCGCCACAACGTGCGGCGGGCGGATGGCCTTGCACGACCCAGAGGGGCCATTTCTCGAGGGCTCCAAGTACGCAATTAGTACCTACCTGTAGCGATGCATTTTACTCTGTTAATCTAAGGTCTTCATGTATTGCTGGCAAGGCGTTTGCTTTGGTTGCAAGGTTTTGGGACGAGCCAGGCGCCGATGTGGAAAAACCAACTAACTTTGCCATCTCGACGCCTTAGTTCATCACCACGTCTTCTACCTCTCTAAGCCGTGAGGGTCACTAATGCTGGAATACAATTGGAAACCACTCCACGTACACAAAGACAGTACTGTGGAGGGCTAAAGTCACATCTGCAAGGCTGGCCTACGTGATAAAGACCAACTTATTATGATCCGAACGGCCATGTCAAAAATGTCTACAGGCTGCAACACACCACTCGAGTCTGAACGGTAGGAAAAGCATCGACGCTCTCGAGAGGAAGCAGGACTTGCTTCTGTGCCCCTAACCCGAAACCCTAAATCGGACTCCAACGCAAATTCCAACATGTCTGTTTCTGAAACATTCTGGATCATGGACTCTAACCCGACCCGCCCAAGGAACATCAAAGAGTGCTTCCTGCTCCAGACTGCATAGTAGGAAGTCCTTGGAAACCGCGGTGAGTGAATAGAATAATATTACCGAGGATGTTTTGGAATTTGTCTTTGGCTTTGAAGATGGGGGCTTCTTTGCCCCGCCCCCCAAGTGGGGGAGCAACTTGCTTTAGTGTCCCACCCAATAGCTCCCGTGAGGAGGACGTTTTGGAATTTGTTTGCCTTGGAGTATAAATAGCTCGCGACAAAACCTTAGTGTCCCACCCAAGAGCTCGCGTGAGGAAGCAGGGTCTGCTTTAGTGTCCGTTTATGTAAATTGAGATGTTCGTCCCTTCGTGGGACGAGACATTTTGTGACACGGTCTTTTCGCACAAAGAATTGGCGTCTTTTTGCGCGAAAAGACGGTGGTTTAGGCAAGTTGAAATGTTTATCCCTTAGATGCCCTACTATGGGGAAGGCCCCAAGATATTTTCGAATAGGGAACTTCGAAGAGGAAGGGCGCTTTGAGCTGTCTGCTTTGCAAAACGGGCCCCAAGATGCCGCGATAGGGAACTTCGAAGAGGAAGGGCGTGGTTGAACTGGCTGCGTAGTCCTCCCTCGCCAGGGCGCGTTTTTTTTTGGCCGTTGCTCCGGATTTGGGTCGCCTTGACAAAAAAAAGCCGCAACACAAGAACAAAAACACGGTTTCCTCGCTCTCTCTCGCACGCTCGCTCTTTACCTAAGGCGACTTGGGGACAGAGTGCCAGAAAAGGGGACCCTTGCAAGACCCGTTGAAATTATGGCATTGGTTGAAAAGCCCCTAGAACAGCCCCTAAAAAAACACTCCAAAGATTGTTCTGCCCACAGGCCTGGTCTCGCAGAGTCTGCTCCGCTCTGCTCCTGTGCCCCGCTCTCTGGCTCTGCTCTCAACAGCTCTGCTCTCATCAGCATGATTGCCCCCCCAAGCACTTCTCAGAATCTCAAGAAGGGACCCTTTCAAAAGAAACGCCGCGCCTGCCCATGCGCACTCCAAGTCCATAAAGTGACATGGCGGCGCAGGTGCTGGCGCCAATGCAGCTATGCCTGCAGTGCCTTTTGCTGTGGCCTTTTTTTTGGGCAGAATGGCGTTTTTGGTGGGAAGAGAACAACTACACCGTAAGCAGCCTTTTGAGGACCGATGCGTGCTGCAAAAGTCGTTCTCCCCCTGATTCTCCCTCTCTCTCTCTCTCTCTCTCTCTCCATATTCTTTCGCAGACTGCAGACCACCCTGAGTCCCGCTCTTGTCCGCTTATTCGTGTCAACCGTGACCTTCGGAAGGGAGCCTTCGGCGGATTTGGGATTGACATATGCAAAACGATGTAACGATGCAGACTGACGAGCTTGCTCGCAAAATGCGCAACACATTGAAAAGACACGCAGTCTCGCACAGTCTCGCAGGACTCCTAAGGCCTCCTAAGGGCTCCTCTGCCTTCTCAAACCAAACATGCGGAGAAAAGCGACTCAATTCTCCCACAAGTGACAAAAAAAAGAAACAACTGGGGAGCATTGAACAATGTTGGAAGATGTGGGCCTGAAGCTGTGGGATGTGACTGGTTAGGCCGGTTAGATTGTTTTGCCAATGATTTGGGCTTGCGACTTCAGGGAAAGTGTTGCCAAGCCGCAGTTCCTGACACAAATGAACCGACAACGCACACTGTGACGCTTCTGCAATTCCGTGCCACGTCTTTGAACATTCTTGCGCCCGAAGGGGTCCATGTCCTTGCATGTCCTGGTGACGAAGGCACCACGTCTGCCGTCCTACCGGACAGCAGTCAAGTAACGAAGGCCTCTCTCCATGAAGTGGTGGCTCACAGACGGTGTCTCACAGACGGTGTCTCCCTCAGTCGAAACTCTCCCCGAGATTGATAAGCGACCCCTGCTGCGACGCCACCGGACTCGGTCCTTCGCGGAGACTCCGGAAAGACTCTCCGTGGAGACTCTCGCCGGCCCCGCACCTTCAGATGAGGGGGCCAAGAGACGCTCTTTGTGTGTTCTCTCTCTATTTCTCTCTCTCTCTTTGCCCCCCCCCCCCATATGCATGGTGCTGGGCAATATGTCAAAGAGGACTCTGGCAGAGTGTCGAAAGAGAAGGGCCTCGGGGAGAGCCCCTTCTGCTCTCCGGGGGGAGAGGCGCGCAGTGGCAGCCCTCGATTTCTCAGAACTGGAAGAGTCTAAGAGCGAGCGCACCTTAGGGACTTAGGGGATGAAGCTGAAAAGCGGAGAGAGAAGAGAAGCAAGAGATTCTCGCCCGTTGCTGGAAACTTTGAGCTTTTGGGCCACTTATCCGCCTCCATCACCAGAACTTCAAGGCGCGGCCCTTCGCCCGGAGCGCAGCGCAAGGCATGGACCTGATGAGAGAAATGAGGAAAGAAGAGAAAACAAGAGAGACAGGGAGAAAGAGAGAGAGAGAGAGAGAGAGAGAGAGACAGAGAGAGAGAGAGAGAGAGAGAGAGGGAGAGAGGGAGAGAGAGAGAGCGAACTCATTTCGCTCTCTCCCTCTCTCTCTCTCTCTGTCTCTCTCTCTCTCTCTCTCTCTCTCTCTTTTTCGTTCGGAAAGCTGATTTCTTAGGCTGAAGCCAAAGGAGACAATAGAAGCAGAGGGTGAAGAAGGCCTCAATGAAGAACCAAAACGGAGAGAGCGAACAGTGCTCTCTCACTCTCTCCTTGTTCTTCTTTTGCTCCGCCCCCCAGGCCCACCTGTTGCTCAACTTTTTGTTTGATTTCAAACCTGAGTTTCGGTTTTGTGGCATCTTGCAGAAGCAGAATATTTGACTCTTCTAAGGCCTGGCGGACTGGTGCAACCAGATCTTCACAATCCATTTGGTACGTTGGCAGATCTTTAGATGCAATGTTGCCACTCAGAATGGGAGAAGGGTGTTTTCTTCGAAAAGAGGGGGCTTTCCGTGCCCGGTGCGAGGCCAAACTGGAAGAAATGACACATGTGTGGCTTTGTTTCGAGGCTCAAGCTACCATCAAAGGAGGAGGCCCGTCGCAGGTCCCAGGTTCCAGGGAGAAAAAACGAGAATCTCAGACTCGTGGAATACCGAACCGAACACAACACGAGCCACGACACGAGCCACGTGGGGCTGAACCCAGGGCGCCGACTCCGAAGCCCCGCGAAGCCGCCCGTGGCACTCTTTGATCGTTGTGCCGTTTTCTTCTTTTGCCGTGAGACTGGTGAGACTCAACGAGCAAAAAAAAAGGGCAACGTGCTGGAAAGGTTTGCCTGTCCGTGTTCAGCAGGGCCTCGACTCCAGATATCACAGGGCAGGGCACCGCTATGCACCCGCTGCGTTGTGAAGAAGTTCACCAAAGATGGGGCCCGGTGCCCGAGATTACCCTGGGCGAGCTGGAGCCAGACAAAACGGTAGAAGATCTTGGATGCAAGATGAGGCTGTGACTTTTTGAAAGCAAAGGGTATGTGGAGTTTCGGGGGGTATCCTCGCATCTACGTGGGGCTTAAGGAAACCGACTTGGCTCCCTTCATGGCCTCTTCCGAGGAAGATTTCAGGACTTGCGTGTGCCCTCGTCCCGAGAAGCGTTTGGAACAAGCAGACACGGACGAGGAGCAACCGATGCCCGCCTGGCGGGGGTACTCCAAAATGCACGTATTTGGGACCTCCCCTGGGACCAGCCTAGGATCCCTGGGAGGGACCCTTCCCTGGACCCGGTCCCCTTGCCCAAGCGTGTACAATTAGAACACAGCCGTCGTGACTTCAGCTTCTGATACAATGGTGCTTTAGGCACAGGTGACCAGATCTTCTCCTTCAATAAGATCTTCGCCGCAGAGTCAATGTGGTTAACCAAGGGTCAGCCCAGATTTCCGTGTGTGGCCTTGTCACCAACGGCAACGAGCGCGCCATCGCGCGCCTGCGAACTGCCCGGATCATCGTGCATCCCAAGAATTAAATCCAGCCGGACTCCTTCGAAACTTCGGGACTCGGGACAGACTCATGGAACCGCGATGGTGTCATAAGGCGATGGGCATGACCGGCGTGTCCCCAGAACCATGGGCCCTACGGCCCTACGGGCATGAGCCTTGGCTGCTATTGCCGCCTGAGTTGCCTAATGGCGGAAGTTGAATTTGAGCGAGAAACAGCTCACTGATTCGGAAGCTTCTCGGCTTCTCTCATGTTTTCCTGATGAGGAGTCTGAAGTGCATGGAGTCGATGTTTCGAGCTATCCTGGCGTTGAAGACGACAAATCAGCTCCGCTTCCTTCCGATACTCCTTTCCCTACGTTTTTGTGTCAGGGCATAGACGCTGCAGGGACACTTGTGCAAGGACGTCGTGTGAAACATTCAAGATTGGAGGTCAGTTCTCTTGGCAGTGCATCGGATGTAACTGACAAATGAAACGCCTGCTCCTACTTCTGAGGGAGGCCTAAAAAAACAAAACGCCTGAGGGCGCCAGCTGTAAAAAACCATAGATGTTGTGCACATGGATTCTTCCGATGATTGTCTAAGTGCTTCTTCTTGATGAAAACTTCGTGTGTTACGATTCGCTGCGACCTCTTTCGGGGCGTATGTCTGCGTGGCGATGTTTGCAGTCCCTGCCAAAATACCGAAAAAACATCGGAGTGTGCTCGTGTGCTGTGTGCCGTGATGACGTGAAGCTCGACTTGTTGTTTGGCTCACGAGCTTTTTTCTCGGCCCACACTGCAACACACGAACACACGAAGGCACGAACACACACGCGACATGTGAGATATTGAGATACTTGAGGAGCCATCCATGACACCGCTGTTAGCCGACGAGCTGCTATGGGAAGTCGAGCTTTCTGAGGAGACATCTCAAACTGTTGACAGTAGTATACACACTCGACGAGCTCCCTGAGGAGACATCTACAAGGTGCATGTGCACTTCCCGCTATCCTTTTTATCGGCCCTGAGATCCTAGAATGAATTCCGACCTAGACGGATACGCTGGGGTCCCTCGACTCCTTGTCTCCGCTTGTCCCCCTTCATAAGGGTGGCGAGGGTGGCCCCGGTTCCCTGGACTCCTTAAGCCGCTCCTTTGCCCATTTGGCCTCGGCGCCTGTCCCTTTATCCCCATTTGGACCCCTTGCCTCCGCTTGTTTCCCGAGTCCCTGAATTCCTTGTATCCGTGTGCCCCTGTTGTCCCGCTCTCTGCCATTGTCTCCCTTCATGTCTCCTTCTCCTCGTTTTGCAGGTTCGGATCGAGAAGAAGGTGGCTTGACTCTTTAAAAAGCCAGTTGGCGCTGCAGTCTGTAAACGAACAGTTCCACTCTCAACTCGTTTAGGCTTCGCTGGTGGAACTCAACATCGTGTGTGTGCAAGAGAGAGACAGCGAGAGAGAGAGAGAGAGAGAGAGAGAGAGAGAGAGAGAGAGAGAGAGAGAGAGAGAGAGAGAGAGAGAGAGAGAGAGAGAGAGAGAGAGAAAAAAGGGAGCCAATGGAGAAGTGATCCATGTGTCAGCCTGTGCGTGTGGGCGTGCACGCCTTCATCTCCCCGTGTCTCTTGCATGTTCTGTGTCGTCTTCGTTGCTTTTTCTTCGTAATCTTTTCGCGGTTTCTGGTTGTATTTCCCTCCCTCCCTCCTTCCCTCCCGCTCTCTCGTTGTCTCTTGTGCGAAGTGTCCAAATCAAGGAAAACTTGCGCAACCCGCTCCAGTAACTAGCTCAGGCCACACGAGGAAAAAGAAGTTGGTTATATACAGTTGTAAGTTGTTAAGTTACTCCTGAAGTAGCAGTATCCCTGCCAACGGGGAACACGAGGTAGCTAGCCAGGTACTCCTATGCCACTCCCGATGTCGACTATCGGAAGGATCCCTAGAGTTGCTATCTCCAGGGGGTTGATGGCCTATCCACCAGATGTATCCGCTAGCCGTCCGACCACACGTTGTACACCTGACAAGATATCCACCTGAACACTCTCCTACACCCAGTGTCCTCTAGCCGTCCGACTGCGAGTTGCAAAGGGTCCAGGAAAGTATCCCAAGGGTTAGGGTAAAGGAACTATTCCACAGAGCCCGGTCCTTTTCCTCTAGCCGTCCGACTCCGAGTTGACGGTCAAGAACCAGTCTATCTGCAAAATATCCCAGGGGCGCAAAAGGAATCTGTACACAACTACTTAAGAAGGGCCCTTCTTGAGCAGCTCACGGCTGCGAACGAGCATGTCGTTCATATGCTATCCAGGCTCGTCCACGAAGAAGTCGTCATCTATCCCAGGCCCAACCCAAAATTACAACATCTTTCAAACATGCACCCCGGCAAATCTAACTGACCTCTTTGTGCTGGCTCGCCATGCCTTCCTAGTGACCTCCGCCGCAAGGCCTTACTGGTGGCGACGTGTCCGAACAGCTCCGAATATCCCTGGCCACGCTCGTTCTCGCTATCCGCCCCCACATTCGCCTCTGCCGTGGCAACCTCCACATCCACTTCCATGCTCGCCTCACCAGACGTCTTCCTCGCGTCACCCTGGTTGAGCGGTATCACCGGCTCCTTTCCGGCTCTATCCCCCGTCATCACCTCGTCCGATTCGGCTACAGTGTCCAACGGTCCGGGCGTAATTCCTTTCACCCCTCTTTTTCCCTGTAGCGCCTCCCTCGCCGCAGTCTCTGGAATGCTTGCTACCCAACGATGGTATTCCTCCGGGTACCCTTTTCCCATGCTCTCAATTCGCCTCATGGAGTTGACGATCTCTTCGAACAATTCAGAGTCGGACCGGATAATCTGCAATATCTCCATCTCCGGCCTAACTAGCATCACATTCTGCGCTGTCCACCAAGGTCACCAAGCCATCGTATTCTGCCACTCCTCTGGGAACTTCAATCCTCCTTGAGCAGATCCTTGATGAACCTCGCTAGCCATATTCTCACGACGTAATTCGAAAACTCTATCTTCCCCAGCTGGAACGGGCACCTATCCTCCGTTCCGTATCCCTTGTTCGACACTTCCTCCACCATTTCGGCTATGTCCATCATGCTCGGGTAATCCCCCGATCCACTATCCATACGTGCCATCACACGATCGATCAGATTGTCTCCCGCTGCTTGCGCTGCCGCAAAGATCTTCGTCTCCCACAGCATCTCGATAGCCTCATATCCCACACCTAGCCTCTCAGGCTCAATGGTAACATTGTACAATTCCCACCGCGTTTGCAACTCTACCTCATCAGCATCGCCCGCAGTGCCTCCCGATCCCAGCGCTCTCATTGACCGTACCGGCTCACGACTTTGCCTCCGTCTTCTCGCAGTTCGGGTGCCAATCCTCGCATGACGTTCAAACCCATCCAAATCTGATAGAAATGTTCAACCCATCTTCTCATGCCACCCGTAGTGCCTTCGACGGCCAACACTCTGCTCCTCAGAAGCGTCGACAATGCTATCCCAGTGTATGATGGATCGACGGCATTCCTTATCCCCGATAGCACCTGTGAGTCATATATGCCCGCCTCCACGATGTCGTATACCTCCTCGGCGTAATCTCATTGGTCACCTCCCTGAACCATACCGCCCTGATCAGCCCCGGATGGCCTGTGCTATCACGACAGTCCAAGCCACAGGCGGCCCGGCATAGCGTCTAATCCAGTGTTCAGTGCCCAGCACAAATCCTTCGCCAAATGCTTGCCCCGCAGTCGCTTGACTCGACCAC